AAACTAGTGGTAAAGTTAAGAATATGGATCTAGGACAGAAAATAAATTATCATACATCAAGTGAAATAAATAAATTTAAATGGGTCGTTGCCCTAGACATTTCAGCTCTTTGAGAATGTAGTGTTCGTTTTGGAGCGACCTAGAATTCTCGTAGACAGTGCATCTGGAACTATAACGAACCAGTACTAGAACAGTAATTCAAAATCAGACAATGCTGTTTTATTTTATTGTAGTTACGTAAAGCTAAACAACCGTCGCTATTTCTTTTCTCGAAGATTTATGGCTGCTTAATAGAGCTTAATGGGGCCTTGGTGAACCACATACACTTTTAGGCAATAATTGGTTACGAGGTCGTACAGAACAGTTGAGTGCGTTGCATTTCTACGAAGTATACCTGTATCTCTGAATTAAGATTATCGTTTTTTAAGCATTTCAAATTTTTGTATCTTTTTATTTTTTAATTCAAATCTGCAAAACACTGATCAAAGTGTATGCAAACTTCGTTACTGCACTCTTTGTTTCACAAACAGTTTGCAAGTTTCAGAAGTGGAAATTATAACTGACTAATGATATTTGTATTATAGTGGAATATATGTTTCTACTCTTATTTGGTCGAAATAATTTTAGTGATAATTGCAATTCCCGTTAGTGTTATTGATTTAATGACCATAGCATCTCAGAATAGTAATTACCGATTATTCTTTGTAATTATATGTAATTATAGGTGTATAGTAATTAAAATGAAGTAAATTCATTAAAACATTCAGTCATATTTATATAATTGAGAAGTTTTTGTTGTGTCGAGTAAATTATTCTAAATTTTATAGCTCTAACGTATGTCTGTTGGCTATTAAAGATAACAGTTTATCACTGAAGGACAGCAATAAACTGTCTCGATTATACAGTATTAGAACAATACGAAAATAAAATCGCGCTTTAAGTCTGAAGAAAACGGAGTACTTGTATATTTTCTATTTTTATGGAGTTTATTCGGAATTGGTGTAATTGTTTAAATTTATTATCACAACACAATAATTTAGTTGTGTCCTGGATCTGAGTTTATGTCAAGGTAACAAAAAATATAACAATTTAGTTATGTTCTGAATCCAATTTCATGTCAAGGCGTTCAACATACCCACAATATTTTTCATGAGCACATTTTTCATTTTTTGAAAAAGAACAAAGCCTAAACATCGTACATTTTTATTAAATTCCATAGTTACAATTTTTCCTTCTAATTAGACTAATTAGTCTAATTGGTAAATGACCAGTTAAACATTGTTTATGTTATGTGTATATATTTTCTAATTGAAAAGTCTTAAATGTGTATTAACAATTGATGTTTACGTTTCAAAAACAATAAAATTAAATTATAGAGCACTACAGTAGTTACTATTGGTGAAAAATAGTATGATAATGCCATAAACATTTTAGTACCTAATTCTTAAGCGTACAGAGTAAACTCTATTAATTTTACTCGTAGTCCTGATTACTTCGTGTTGTTTGAAAATTTCCTTCTCGATCATGATAAGATGGTTACGAGTGGCTTCTACAATCCACAAGCACTTTTATTAATTATGACAATAAATTTCAGTTAAGGTGATCTATGTTGGGAAATGATTGTTATTTCTTTTTCAACAGTGTTTTAGGTGTTCTAACTAGCATGTAGGTATGCTTGGCCCGAACTCTATACCCTGCTACCAAAATGGTGTCAGACACTGGGTGTAAATAACCTTATGAACGTAAGAATAGACGTTCAAGACGAATTGGGTTTATATCTGTTGCACCGGAGAAAGGGTTTTTGTGACAGTGTGACGGAATTATGCAACAGTATAACCATATTTGAAATTATCTGTTTACAGGTTAAATTCATTAATTATAATTATATGACAATCTAAATTCGTAATTTGGCACCTTGATTTGTAAATTATACAAAAATACAGATATAATCATTAAAGTAATTATAGTTTAAATTGTTTGTAATCACTAGGAAATATATAAAGTTAGATGAAAATGTACATTATAAAAATATATCTACTTGTACGATCAATAACAACTGATATTCTCATGATTTATATAAAAAGCTCTATCTCCTGAAGATTATTTTATAATCACATCATTATTTTTAACAATTGTTTTGTCACAAGTTATGAATATTGCTGTGACAATATATCAAGGCCTAAATAGTTGCCAATACACGTCACACTAAATGGTTTCTACACAGAATGCTTTAATGTTAAGCAACAATGTTTTACCGCAGTAGATGCTCAAAATAGATCAGTGAACTGTATAATTATTATATAGAACCATTGTTTATTTTTATTATTATTATTATTATAATTATTATTAATTTTGTATCTATGATTACTTAAACTAAATCACTAACAATGTGTAACGGTTTGTAGCGTAAGACAAAATCATTATTACAAAACATTGCAAAATGAAATGGTCTCGGAAGAAACTTGAATTTCTTAGATTATGATGAAAACATTTCATATTAGAATGAAGAAGTTTTCTCGTCGCATATTGAAATCTTCAATTTTGGGACACGTTAGAGCAATCTTCAAAGAATAAAATTTGGCGCCTGTGTGTTACATCAGCGACGCTGAAGTAATAAGGCGGTCGTGAATGTCAACAGTGTCTAGCTTCTCGGTAGAGTATCTCTTGGCAGACGAAACAAGACTGACGAAGACAGCGTCGGATGAAAGGGAGGGAGAGAGAAAAAGAGAGTGTAGAACTGTCTAGCTGCCAAATATTTTTGTCAATCGTAAATTCCTTTTTAATCTATTGTGATTTCATTGGCGGAGCGTTTTGTCGCCGTAGAAGAGATATAAATAAAACGAGCAATCGATTTTTTCACGAGGGGGACAAAACTGAAGGGGTGACTTGTCAGTAAAACTGCAATCGATATCGTTATTGACACAACCGCCTAACAGGATGTTCTTGTTTAACAATTTTTTGATGGCTGCAAAACAGTTCTCGTAGGTTGTATTTCATTTCAGTTTATCGTAAATATATTTATTCATAAATAGAATCTTTCATAGACTAATTTGTCGTGTTAAAGAAATACGTATTTAGAGAGGTATATTATACGTACATGTACAGGGTGTTTTAGTTTTTTTCTGTCAAATTATGTCGTTGTATACGTTGAAACGAGAAAATTCTATATAAACATAGATTTTTTATTAACTTTATGAAAGAGTTGCAACAAAAATGAGAAATAGGGGAAAATAATATTGAATTGTAATGCAGAATAAGTTATATTTAATTCTCTCACGAAGTTCAGATAGTAAAACCAATTTTTATAATGAGATGAGATGCGTTAATATCTCTATTAAAATTGTATCTATATCTAACAAACACCTGTAATGGTACGATGTGATTTAGTTTGCATCAATGAAATCGTATACAAATCACGAAATAAAATAAAATTAATACAAAATGTCATTTTTATTCTCCAGTACGTTATCACTATTTTTATCGAAGGTATCAAACCTTTCCAAATTATAACTTGAAATTATTTTGTAAGTTCAATCATTTTCCTCAATTTTTGATTTTTCCTATAATTATTATAAGATTAATTTAACAGTATATATTTTTATCAGATTATAACAAATTATTTATTAAAGAAGATTAAGTAATTTAACATGTTCGCGACCAGCGTTTATTTCAGTAGTAATCTTTATAGTTACAGTTTATAAAATGCAACAAATCGTCTGAATAAAATACAAATAAAATTCAAGGAAAAAATAGTGTAAGCTTTCTACATTTCGCATGATAGCTTACGATTTTAGACTCAAACATACGTAGAAATAATTTAACTTTCTCTACGCAAAATACAAAATGTTGAGCGTTACAAATATGCCATCGCGACGTGTTAATAGGTTTCATTAAATTATCTTTTGGTAAAAACATATAAAAGATCGATAAAAATAGTGTTATACTTTGAAATGAATACTAGTAACAGCGACTAGTTGTGTACAAATAGTGGAAGAAATTTAACGAGAAAACTTTCCTAATCCCGGACGAATTACTGGTAAACAAATGTGACTATTCATTACTCAACATTTGACACAGGCCTCAATGCTCGCAAAATAAATGAAAGGGGCAGAAACAATACGTAACTGACGTATACCGTCCGGTATTTTATTGGACACCGGAAAGAGTAAACAGACTATTTTTACGAGACAATCAAACTGCGTCGCATGAAAGAACGGCTTTAGAATGACTCAGTTTTTCATTTATACTTGAATTAAGGTCATATGTTTCATCGCCGAATAATCTTCGAATTGTGGATGGTGAAGCATCGATCTACCGTGTTTCTGCTTCATTCATCAATTTAAACTGGAATCGATAGATGTGTAATCGCTGGAAAGTTATTGATTTATGCGAAATATTTTGTTAGTATTTCTTATTTTTCATACGAAAGCTCATTTTTTCTCTTGTTTATGAATGTAAATAATTTTACACTGTTTAAGTAATTAGAGTTACTTTGTACGAAACATTGTAATGCCAGATTAGAACTTGATGTAATAATGTTAACAAGTTCATTGTTAAAGTAAATGTATCATAAAACATTAGTTTTCGTTAATATTGAAATATTAAATTATATAAAATGTTTTATAAATAATACATTACAAAAGGAAGACTAATCAGAGTTGATTAACTACACGGAATGAATAATACATGCAACTGATGTGTCGACAATGTTACGAGTTATAATAGTCTCGGATACGCATCACGATTTACATAATGGCTACTGTGTACTGAGTCGTGATTGTGAATTAACGTAATCAGCGTCACAACTACACGTGTACTAACAGTAGATTTCTGAGCTATTATTAAGACATTGTATAAAATCAAAACTACTGTCATGAACTATACGATTTTATTCTCTTTTATTTATAAAAAGAATATGTAGAATTGTAAGATATGTAAGGTGTCATTTAACTGATAGCGAAACTGACAAACAGATTTCACGTGAAATATAGAAAAAAGGTTTCCTTGCTTGAATTCTCATTGTCGAGTAAAGTGGTATTAGAGATTAATTAAATTTAATTAAGAAGTAGCGGAATTATATATTTCTTTTATGGACATGTATGAACAAAGTGGAATTATATATTTCTTTTATGAATCTTAAATAATTACTCGTGTTCAATGATTTACAGTATATTCAGTTGGCAACTAACACTTAGCCAATCGAATGGAGAAATCTTCCACTTTTCCCTCAGCAATGTATTATCTTTTATATTCTTTATACTTTTTTCTTATTTATCAAGTCTTGAACTGGGATTATTGGGAATTCATCAAATCCCTACCTGCTTCTGTAAAACACAATTTTTAATCAAATCAGTTACATGAATTTAAATTAAAGTTAATAAAAAAAGACTGTAGTTTTTTTAAACAGTTGCTTAAGTGTTAAGTAATTACACGAGATAAAGGAATTTCAGTCAATTGATGTGAGAATGAATGGTCACGTTCTTCAGTAAACACCTGATATATTCGTTCGAAAGGGTAACCGCGTTAACCGAATTAGCCTGAAGTTACAGGATTCAGCAAATTCGACGCTCTCATTCGAATGAATTCAACCGGGAAATCGATACAAGACTGATAAGCAACATAGATTAATTATTATTAACACTGGAATTACCGAGCATTTATTGGGATTGATATGTAATCCTTATAAATATTGTAGCAACACATTCTTTGTCGATTTCTTCAGACATTCGTTATGTTAGAAATATTTTAAACGCGCGCCAAACTTCAAAATATTCATTATTTGTGTTATAATTGATAATATTTTTTTGTTTAATATCGAAAATAGAAGGTTCTTATTTACATAATAGTTCTTTACATAATAATTCTAGAAAAGATAATAGTTCTCGATAAAATTACAGTTATTTTACAATGATGTATATTGAAAATTTTAATAGTTACATTCGACCACTTCTTGCAAGGCATAGTTTTTGCGGGTACTGGTTGATCCGAGCACTGCTGTTGGTGATAGTGTTGTTCACACTTCATCTGCATCTGGGGCCAAAGGCTAATTCCATTAAGGTATTTCATTAAAGATGCTATAGACTCAATTCGCTCAATGAAACGTTCGCCATTCTGTTCGTGTAAATAGTCTATCAGAGAGTTATCATTTCTAAACACAATTGTTGATGCTGATTTATATTATCAACAACTTAGAAATATACAACAAGAACTAAACTATACATGACAATAACAACGTAAACAAGAAGGAAAGTTTAATGTCACTTATTCCTTGTATAGTGTGGAATATTCTTTGAATCTGGCACAGAAGCTTGACCCTTTTCTTCAATTGCAAAAAAGGGAGCTATAAAAATTGTTTTTTAATAAATAATCCGAGGAAACGACGTGTAGTATAACTTTTAGATTAATATTAATTATGAAAATGAAAACCTTTATGAACTTTACCATTTTCATATCGTTTTAGAACAGAATTAGAGCAGAGGCCAAATTTGTATACGATGAAAATGAAACGTTAATGAAACGTTTCTAATTGATTATCCTACTTCCTTTAAGTTGGCAATTAGAAGGTAAATTGAAAAGGGTTGACCTTTAGATTAGAAAGGATTGTTAATTTGAAGAAAGCATTAGTGGACTTTTTCTGTAATCGTGTAGTGTGACTTCGAATACATTAGACTATGGAATGATGACAATTCACGCGTACTAACCTAACGCTAGAGCATCAGGAATAACATGAATTGACCTCATCGTATCTACCACGTAACAGCATTCTCGAGTATCAAAGTAGCTCTTGGTAAATGAAGTTCAGCATTCAAGTGGTCAGTGTATACTCCTATATAACCACGTTTCGCGTCGACGGATTTATCATTGTATGTTCCAAAAGATGAACTGCAAACAATTGTGACCATAAATAAACTTTGTTCCAACGATGTAATGTAATCTGCGTATATATGGAGTATTCGTGTACCTAAAGGTCCACTCTATCTTGACTATGCAACTTCCACATTTCCTTCTCAAGATAAAATAACTGACCTACTACTATCTAACCTTAAATAAAGTGCTGATACCTATTTACGAACAGTCAAATTTTACACCAACGATGTATTGATTATTCGAAGGAAATTGAGAAGTTGTTACACGTTACACAGAGTTTGAAGTTGATAATAGACTTCTGGATGTTGTATAATAAGCGTATGTTGTTCAGAAAACTTTAAAATAATATTGTTATATGAATTTATTGGTTTCCATAATTTATATTGTTACGTAGTTAGTGTTACTGAATTTTTAATATCTCTGAAGCTTATGAATACAAAAATTTAATGAAATTAAAATTATACAATTATAAAACTTATATTTTGTATCTAAAAAGCTGAATGTATTCAGCTGACTATATTTTATTATAAAAATGTATGAAATTCAGAGAATACAATGATGAAGTAAGAATATTAGAAACTTGATGTTGGTTATGTTTAACAAAGCCCTAAAAATATTAATGGATTTAATATTGAATAATGTTTTGCCTTTTATAAACGCGATTGCAATTCAAATGATATCATTCTACGTATATTATCAGCAAGATCAAATTTAGACGGTTCATAGCACATACCGCTTGCACTTAAAGTTAGTGGTGGTCAACGGAGTCAGTTTACTGTTCCACTTTTCACTCCTGCGGAATAATCTGGCACATACTGGACGAGATCTGCAAGGACGAGTACATTAGGCCTTTATAACTGCTTAAAAGACTAAAAATTTTAAAGAGTATACACAACTTTCTGCAATATTGTTTGCTGAAGCCTCGTAGTTTAAGATTACAGCTTTAAGTATTCGCAATCAATATATAAACTATAATATATTATAAACTATTATATATATATATATATACATATCAAAATAGAAAAAAATACATGCCTTTATTACTGAATAATATTTACAAAACTTGAATTATAAATTATTTGTTTTTTAATTATTGATTATTATCATTTGGATAAATATTTATATTACTTTAAAGGATCATTTATTTAAATTTTTATTTCTATTCAATAATTTAATGATATATATATAGTTTTTTTATATTACTATGTTAAACAAAAAAACTTTCATAGAGTAAGTGTAACTATAAACAAAATAAAACATAATAATAGGAGGTTGTAATTTTTAGTTTGATGATTTTTGTTTAGCCCAGTTTCTGTTTTCCAGTATGGTCTCCTTACTAAGCCCCTTATAAAGTAAAGAGGCCTCCAAAAATTGCATCACACAAGAAATTATGTGGATGCAGGCATTTTAATTATGGGCTTCAGCAACAGTACCCTCACTAAACGATCATTGAATACTTTGCTCCCCAAAGACAAGGATAGTGAAACTTATTGCAGTATCTTTATATAGAATATGCTCGTATTCATACATGCGAGAAACTTCTGCCATCTTGCGATTACTCCCAGTACTTATTGAGTCAAAGACCTATATACAATAATATTCAAAACGTAAATAAAACATTTGTTAAACTTTTTTTCTTATTTTCCACGCAATTTTTATAATAATAATCTGTCATTGATTCTGTGAACGAAATATTTCACGCATTTTAACCAATTGCATAGGTATACTCAAAGTAAAATGGTAAGTTCGTTAATTTAAAAAATTAAGAGAAATAAATTCATATGTATATACAAATTCAAAAATATTATAAGCATCATTCATATTTATTTTTTATAATTCTATAATATTAAATTAAAAGTATTATTTGCATACTAATCACACCTTTTTAAAATTATTATAAACTCAGAAGAAGGATAAAAAACAATTTACAGGGGAATGAAACATATCTATATTAATCATTTAAATAAAAAATTATCTTTCACATATTGTCCAAAACATATCGAACAACAAAAAGACTATCGTGTGAAGCATAGAATCTTAATTCAAAATTATTATTTTAATTTTATGATTTCTTAATTGAACAATATTCTAGTGTTTTTGAGTTCGTATAAATTAAGTATTCATTTGTTTATTGCTCTCCTATTGCTTACATAAAAGTATGCAATAATTGAAAGGCTCTTGGTATCTAGAAATTATGCTCGATAAGGGTATTCAATTTATGATTAATTAATTGAAATCTCCGAGTGCACAAAGGGTTAGACCAAAATAAGTGTGTTCCGTCTAATTTTTATAAAATCCAACTTCCTCTGTTCTAATGGTATTCGAACTGATTAATCTCCAAATTATGTAACACCTTTGGTAGGCATCGCATGTATCATATACATGCCGTGTAACAACTGCGTTTCAGTTGCAGATAAAATCTTGGCAATACTAAATTGCGATGAGAATTAGTGTTACGTCCCGGAATGTACAATACACACAACGGCAACCCTCGGAAAACGAATTAGCGAGATTGTCGACTGTTTACAATACTGTTATAAATCAGGTCGATTATTTGTTTATCGGAGTGCTGTGCGTCTGTTCTAAAGTCATAATTTTGAAAAACTCGATACCTGACATGTTTGTTAGGCTATCGATGTTTTTTGATTCCAATTAGCACGCCTAAAAGGGCGTATTTTCTTATCACACCTATTATCTATCATTTTCATTATGATAATTACTAGTTCATTGACTAATCAAACCCGTTTGTTTTTTTCAAACGTACGTCAATCATATTTTTCAAAATGTTTAAGTTGTTTTGAATTATCCAAGAACTTTGGAGTATTTTGAATAAATTACGTGGTCACTGATGTTTAAAAAATCGTTTGAAGCCATATATTGAAAGAAACAGGTATTTATCAATTTTGTCGTTAATACCAACAAATGCAATTGCAACATTTTACTGCGATTTTAATCGTGAAAAATATAAAAGTGACACGTATTTTAAACGTATACTATTATACTTAAATGTACATATTTAATATATTTAAATCAAGAATCAAGAAATCCTGGTACATATTTTCAGATATGTTGAAAATAAAGTATTATTCCCCATATACACATAGAAAATAAAATGTGATCAATATTCCTTACTCTTATGCATGTAATTTTTTTTACTGATAAGTAATTTTTTGACATTCTTTTAACAATTTTAATTGAATGAATAATTATAAAATAGTTTGGATCCGAATACTACAGATTTGAATGCTCTTGCACGTTTGTTTCGTATTTTATGGCACAGTATAAATTCTAGCAAATAGTCAACGTAATTCTTCGTGTTTTGTAGTTCGAGATTTTCAGAGACAAATACGACGCCACAATTAGATAATGTTAATCCTCCGTATCATTTGTCAGATACTATTTGCGCGGAATGTGGAAAACTTTCTTCCTGTTTTCATCTAGGAATATTGTTTTCGATGCTCGTTCTCAAGGGAATAAAAAATAATATATTCATTGTGTTTTGTAGCGTTTAATGTTTATAGTTTAAATGAAGAATTTAATGTTTATACTTTTATTTTCTATGTATATACGGGAAATAATACTTTATTTTTAACATATCTGAAAATATGTACCAGGATTTCTTGATTCTTGATTTAAATATATTAAATATGTACATTTAAGTATAATAGTATATGTTTAGAATGCGCGTCGCTTTTATATTTTTCATGATTAAAATCGCAGTAAAATGTTGCAATTACATTTATTGGTATTAACGACAAAATTGATAAATACCTGTTTCTTTTCATACATGGCTTCAAACGATTTTT